TAAGGAAAGGCTTCAAACGTTGAAAAACTACATTGTAAACTGACATAGAAACCCAATGATGCGAACTTTCATTGACAGTTGTACAATTAAGCATTATTCAAAACTAAATTCAGAATTTCGTTTGTGCATTGACGCTTACGTAAAGAAAGACTTATACATAGTGTAAAAGACTCCTGTTACGCTAATGACCACCAGCACTCGAACGAATTACTCTATAAACTTTAATCTCATACTAATGCCCAGATTCCCTAAATCTCAGTCCAGAAGACAGGCCATAATATCTTAGGGGATAATATTGCTTCGATGAAATACTGGTTTAAATTTACAGCTAGAGTTAATTATCACGCTGAACAGTCAGTATTTAGGGGATCAAGGCGAACTGTAATTCTAGTGTACTAAGTACTGGGATTTGACAACGTGACCTTCCTCTCGTCCATCCTGGCAAGAACACGACAGAACACTGTTACTGCTATTCGAAAGTCAACGATTCTACCTGCTTTTCGGTTGGTAGCAATGTACAGGTACTGGTACCACAAATGGGTGAATTGGTTGCTCAAGGAAATCAGCATTATGAAGAAATTTTTTACATTCATGGGATTCTAACTCGGCGTCTTCAACGGTCACTGCAGACTTCGCACCCACTGTACCCCGTAACACTGTCTTCTCGCTTCTGGCTTCTACCCATAACACAACATGAATATGCTTCGACGTTGCTTGAAAAATTTTGAAAGTAAGCATAATTCATAAGCAAATTTTGCAAGAAAAATTTCTCAATATAAATGAAAATACATTAGAACAAAAAGACAAATAATTAATGGAATACGTTAAGTTAATCGGCTAGATCCTCATATCTAACCATATCATGGAATATTCATGTAAAAACAGAAATACTATAAAAGTGCAGTAAAAATGTTTACTTCTTTTGACCATCCCGTGCATCCATGACGACAATGGGTACCATAACTAATGTTGTCAAGACACATACGATTAACTTTGTATAATATATAAATATAAGATACTTTGCATACATCAAGAGAACGAGAAATTGAAAATCAACAAGGTTCAAACTCCATGACCCATCACTAATGTTCGAATATTCTCCGGGATCCATGCATTGCGCCAACACCGTGGTATCCTACAGAAGTTACAAACGATACTTATTCTTACCGGCAATAACGAAATCCACCGGTTTGCTAGTAAACCCAAAATTCCAGCGTCATTATGTATGCCCAAAGACAGGTATATTCCTTGGTGTTTAAACATGTTTCTGTACGAGCCAGCAAAATAGTGCTGTTTTGCGCACATGCACTGCAAGAGCAACATCATGCTAAAACGGAGTTCGAGCGAACGTTCATCTAGACTACTAGAAGAGTGGAGATGATCAAATTACACTGCGTGAATCGGAAAAATGTCATATGCTGATGCTTATTCAAATTCATTAATTATGAAGAATATTAAATCCAGCTATGCTACCGTGGAATGTTTTACTTCCATCAGTGTTATTTAAAGGAACACAGTGCATAAACCTGATTGCTGTTCTCATAACAAAATTAACGAACACAAGTAATACAAATTCACTAATTTTATGGGTGTCAGTTCACGACCGGTTTCGTTCGGATTGAAGTCGAACGACTTTACATATATTACTCCAAACAAGCTGTGTTACTAATAATGCATTGTGATCTCGTTTAGCTTACGATATAGAAAATATAGTCAATTACTCTTATTATTGTTATTACACACAAACTTCATTAAAGAAACATGGCTAATAGATTTCCCGAACTACCGTAATGATGAAAAGGTATAATTTTATTTCTATGTAGTAGAAGAAAGCAAACTCATTATCGGACAGTTTTTAAACGGAACTGGTTATCTGCTTCTGTTTAGCTGGTAAGCAACCGCAGACTGACAAATGAAGTTATATTTCACTTCTTGTTGTATTTTATTGTCTTATTAAGTTTGTACTGTTCGCATTTAATTTGGTATGATGCTTTTCAACGTATTGCTTCAGTTTGTTGCTACAAATGCGAATTTCTTTGACGAGCATATTAATAATATGATACTTTGGTAAGTCACAAACGGAAAGACAACGCATAAAATGTTTTTT